GCACAGGCGCGGCGGTGGCGGTGCGTCCATACGAGATTCCGCCACCGCCGAGTTCCGCCCGAGAAGGCTGCCACGGGGGTTTTAGTGGGTGAGAGTCCCACACTACCTCGGAGTCCCACCCCAGGACTCCAAGGTGTGCATAATGCATTTCCCCCGCGAAAAAAAAAAAGGTGTAGCTGTAGTTGGTGATTTTGTGTTGTTCTTTGCTTTGAAAAGATTGTAACGGTAGTTTTGTTTTTAGAGAATTTAAATCCAGTTTGTAGAGAGAATTTTTGGAGTCTATCTAAATTGTCTTGAAGGATTTGTTGACTGGTGTTTAAATTTTTTCCGGTTGTAAAGAAGGTACAGTCGTCAGCAAATATAGTATACTTAACTGGTTTAGAGAAAACTCCGGCAATATCGTTTATTGCAATCAGAAATAAAACTACGCTTAATACAGATCCCTGTGGTACCCCATTTAGGGTTTCAACTTTCTTGGATAATTTGCCATTTACACGGACGTATGTGGATCTGCTTTTTATGAAATTGTATATGAATTGTATCATGATTCCACTTACGTTCCACTTTTTAAGCTGTTGTATTATTCGGTGCCTCCAAAGCATGTCGTAGGCCTTTTCAATGTCCAAACATATTGCTATTAGGTGTTGTTTTTTGAGGAAGGCTTCACAAATGTTTATATCTAGCATTGCAAGATTGTCAGTTGTCGAACGATACTGTCTGAACCCATTTTAATTTTTTTCTAGTAGATTGTTTGTTTCCAGATACCATCGCAGTCTTTTGCAGATTATTTTTTCTAGTAATTTGCATAAGCAGCATGTCAAGGCGATAGGTCTCTAGCTGTCGATTTGGAGTTTGTTTAATCCGGGTTTTAGAATGGGAACCACTATTGCTTCTTGCCATTTGGCGGGGAAAACCCCATTCAGCCAAATACAGTTATAGATATCTAATATGCAGTTTATTCCTTCTTTTGGTAATTGTTGTATAAAGATATTTGGGATGTTGTCGGGTCCTGGGCTGGAATTTTTGACAGATTTTAGTGCCGATTGCAATTCTGTAATCAGAATCTTTGTGTTAAGGGGGTGGTTGTGTATTGGAGAGATGATCTGTTCGTATTTTGAATTTTCTTCAACACTGGCTTTGATTTTAAGAAAGTTTGGGTCGAAATTTTCGTTACTCGAATTTTTTGCAAAGATAGTAGCTAGAAGGTTGGCAATTTCTGTAGCGTCCGTGATAATTGAATTGTCAGAGCCTTTAATCATCCAAAGTTCATGGAACAGAAATCACTTTAAAGTTTGCACTTTCTAGTTTTTGGTTCCTTAAATCAATTTTAAGAAAATGATAGTCTAGAGGGTAAAATTCGCCCTTTAAGAGGAGTGTGCCAAACTGTACTTTTCCTTGATGTTCGTTAAGTGCTACGGAGTGCAAACAATATTTTTTTTGCAATTTTGATATATACCACCGAAAAGTATGATCGTTTGTCTTTAAAATAAAACATACCTCATCGAAGAATTATGATGTTTAACAAAGATACAGCCCTTTAAAGGAAACCTATATTTTAAAAATGTTTTGTGTACTGTAAGGAATGTGTACTGTTCTTTATTCTTCCCTTTACTACACTCTTCTAGTACATGAAGCCATGTTTCTTCCTTCCCTCCACGTCTTCTACATGCTTTTCCCTCGTCATCGGGCCAATACCTTCCTTCCCTCATTTCATTTCCCAACCTGTACCTTGCTACTGTCTGCCACATTATTTCCTTCTTCCCTTATTCTAAATATTCCAGAGTCTCTTCTTTTCTTAACATTCTCTCCTCTCCCTGAATCTGATACTTATAATCTGCTTTCCCACTTTATCGGCCTTTCCCTCCCTAGTACTCGTATACCTTTGTAGATGCCACTACCTGTCCTACCACTGTAGCGTTTTTAATTACCGAAACAGATTTCTGTTTTACCGACTCCGGAAGTTATATGGAATAGGAAATAACTTACACACGAATAAAATAACAAGGGCTTTAATTAAACAAAATAACTTTTACTACTAAATAACAAATACGACAACACTCTTTTAAACCCGGAAGACCTTTTATGAGCTGTTCTTTTTTATACGTTTATTGCCAAACTGAGACTGTCTGTCTCCGGGAATTCTCCCTCCTAATCCCATTGAAAAGATGGGCCAATCGCCTTACGTCATTTCCGAATCACCGGAAATGCACTTGCTTTACTTGCGCGCGGGATCCTGAAGGCGTCGCCACACCACTTACTCTTCCCCTTGCCTTTTTTCCCGCTCCTTTCCACCTCACGCTCCTTTTAACCTCTCACTCACACTACCTTTGAATCCTTTTCTTTTCTTTTCCTTTTATTCCCACTATCAATATTTTTCTCTCTATCACCCTCCTCACACTTTCAGCTCTTACTCGCGCGTCCACACTCCTTCTTTCGCTCTTCTCACTCACTTCAATCTATTTTAACTTCTCACCAGTCACTCTCACAATTTACTGTCTCGCCACCGAAAACGGAAGTTCGAATATCAAAAGTCTTACTTATAATTTATTAGGAAAAATTGTTTGCCTTTGTAAATATTGATATTTAATTATTTTGCTCATATGTTACGTGTTTTTAAACTGCTCTGTAAATCGGGAAAAATATTTCCATTTTGCTGGATTACAGTTGTCGAAAATATTTTATTAGAAGGTGAGACGTATTTACTTTTTGTAATACAAATTTAAAGTTTTTGTAATTTTATCACAATTAGTATTCTGCTACTGTACAATTTCTTCTCTTAAAACGAAGGAAAACCAATGGATCAAGATAATATGAAGCCCATCCAAAATGTAGGGTTAATCGACATAACATTAAAGAATTTAGCAAGAGAACATTACTTAATTCTGGAGAGTCAATAGCTTACAAAATTGCAATTTCATAACGGGTTGCGAATTGTGATATTTTCTTCTGGTCGAATGACAGTTGCCTGCGATTATAGAGAACGCTTAAGTTCAGATTACAATAGAACCACTTGTAATTTTATTACAGGTTGCTTTGTTACCATGCAGTGCACGGCTAATTGATTATCATTGCGAGAACAATGATCAACACTTGTTGAAGCACATATGCCTACGAGTTCTGGTAACGTCTTCGGTTCTTGTATTGTTTCCACAATAGACATTACATGTGTATTTAAAGTTTTCCAATCCCGGCCCAAGGTCTGCTTCTACCATTTAAGAGCACCTGGTCACGTACCGTGTCACAGAAATCGAGTTGCAATTAACTATCATGCTGACTTAGACTTCTAAGGTTGATCACTTTCACTCATTACATTAGGAAATTCGATCGTGTTTCGCGGTACTGTTTCCCGATCGCTCCTATTCGTTCAATTCGCCGATTGGAATGCACAAACTGTACAACGTAACTCTAAAGGACTATATCGGTAATGATCCTGGTTCTAATCAGACTTGGGCAAATTTTATTTGAAATGAAAATCTGAAATAACAATTTGAAATCATTTATTTCGATACTTTATTTTCAATCCTGCTATTTGCAAATGAAAATATTATGGATTCATTATTTCAAATAATGAACTATTTTGTTATTTTTGTATTTCAAATTTGACAAAAGAAATAATGCTGAAAATAATATGCAACAGATTTCATTTTAAGACATCTTTACAGCAATTTGTTTTAAGCAGAACCCGTTCTTCCAAAAACTCATCAGTGAGAGATTTTTGCTTGAGTCCGGCTAATATTGTCGCGAAAGAAAATAATCGTTCCGACTGGTGCGGAAAATGGAAGAGGGGTGTTACTCTTCAAAAAAATGTCAATAAACAAAATTCATAACCGAAGTAAAGTTGGCGTTTAAGTGGAAACGTTTTAATTCCTCCCAATAAAAGCGGAACTGAATTTTACCGAAAAGAATTATTTCAGATGTACAAATACAGTGTTTTTAATTCATAGAAATATAGTTAACTTTTCATAATATGGACACCATCTGTGATTAGGTAAATTACTCAACCAGGATTACTAAAACAAAGTAGTGGATTACTTATTGGTGCACTCAATACATACTCTTCTGCTCATTCAAGAAGAAGTATTCCTCTATTACAAAAATTCGAATTTCCACGTTTAATCGATCAAAAGCGGCGAAGTTCCGTTTACATGTTTGCTACTCGAAACTCTTTACCCAGACAATGAGTTTGCCGATTTCCGGTGACTTACAGACGGGAAGTGTACGGCGCCGCGTCAAGGCAAAAAAAAAAAAGAACATCATTCTTTTCTTTTGTTACTAAAGCAAGTAACGTTACCCACAGAAGCCCAAGGTTTACGTACCGTGAATTTACTTCGTAATAAGCGGCGAATTGACAATTAGTGTCGTCTCATTCCGGGACCGCCTTGTCATTTTTAAGTCAATGGCAGGAACGAACGAACGAACCAGAGACGGACGTTACACGCGTGTGAGTCTCTTTGTTTTTAAAGAAGTAACATGCACAGTATAACACTGTCCTTGGTGCTCTCTCGATGGTACTCGACGTGGATCTTACCTTGTGGCATCGTACGACAGGTAGAACGGCCATGCACAGAAGGACAAGGGCACGAATCATTTTGCGTAAAAGTATTCCCGATGGGCTGCGTCACATCGCTGAAAACGAAAACGGAATATATGAATGTACGAATCGTCAAACTGTACGGGAGAATTAATAAAAATGTACACGTTCTATGAATTATTAATTCTATTAACAAGAAACACCCAATTCCGTGATCAGGCGAATGAAAAAATATAATAAATGTATAAACAATGACCGTACTACATTTTTCAACGTGATGACAAGAGAGAAAAGATTCATGAAACTGATTGGCGTTCAAGATGGTTAGGCTAAGGGACATTGTTTGTATTGCGCTACAAAAAGATATCCTTTTTTGTGAGTTGAAATCCGAAATTTTGATAAATCCATGGTTAGAATACGTAATGAGTGTATTAATTATAAATTTTTTTTGGGTGCAAAGGAACATGGCTACCTTCGCCATAAACTATCGGTAATACGCTTAATTTTGCTTCATGTTTAAAAAAAATTCGTATGAACAAAAACGTTGCCGTGCGTATGAAGGAAATAGAGGATTGTCTCGGGGCTATAAAAATCAATAAAAGCAACGCGAAAATGTAATTTAGAATTTTTTTACTATTGAAATCAATTTCCGATAGAAACATTTTAAGTTAGAATTAAAATTACGCGATGGCCATTAAAATGGTGAATTTATTGGATCGTATTAGATCAAAAGAAATCGTGTAGAAAGAGAATTTAATTTTTTTTTCTAGGTCATGTTAAAAGGAAATCGAGTAAAAACAGATTTAAGTGTACTTGTATTGTTAAGGACCCTTTCATATGGTCTAAAAAGTTCCTTAATTAACAGATATTTATACGTTTTACTAACAGAAAAGCTACTGAGAAACAAATGCAACAAGTTTCCATGTGTATGAAGTTCCATTTAAAAAAAGCTTGGAAATAAAATAAGAAATGTGAATTGATAATTCAGAAGTGTTCGCTGTTTTCCAACATAGTGAAATTGGACTGAAAAAGATCAACATAAACGACACAAATGTCGTTTAAACTTGGAGCTTATTATTATATTTTTTAAATATAAACTAGTGTATATGTTACTACACAGTTGATAGCAAGCAGAGATGGGCATTATCTAGATAACAAATTATTTAAATAACTGTTCGAATAAAAGATACTTTATTTTTATTCGTTATTCGAAGCTTGAATAAAGGAAGTAGAGACTTTCGAGAATAAATTTATTCGACGAGAATTATCCGACGAATAAAAGATACTTTTTTTATTCGGGGCGTTTTATTCATAGCGTCGATGATATTTTCATTTTTTATTTGTATCTTTTATCCGAAGGCTTTGAATAAATCTTCAAATAACTATGGCCAGCCAGCCAGCTCGAAAAAACGCGCTAGCGAGCGTCGAGCGTCGAACGTCAAAGGCCAGCGACCGACAATCGGCATAAAATGTAAACAGACGTAGATGAGGTAAGGTATCATCCACGAATGAAGATTTAAACTTTCACAATTTTCAATATATATTAATAAAAGTGTGTGTCATGAATGAATTGAAGAGATTCTCGCGTTGCAAATGCATCCAAATTCGAGTGTAATTGAACAATTTTTACTCATACGTATTGTTGCGGATAAAAATGATATATTATTGAAAATAATCCGAATGATGTCGTATTTGGACTCATTTCCACCGGCAGAATCTCCTCAGTTCATTCATGACACTTTAATAAGTGTATACTGAAAACTATTGTCAGACGTAGTATTCGTCGGAAAACGGTCCCATCGCGGAAAGGCCGAGGTTCGAGTCGAGGGCCACTTTGGTGACGGCATCTGGCATTTACACCCCCTCCCCTTTCATACACTCTGCCATAAACGGTCTCGGGGACCAAGGACTGTTCCAGGCGTGCGATGCAGAAGGTTTTCAAGACACAGTTAGAGGCTAACGATTGTCACGGCAACAACTTGTATTTTCAATTCGGTTATTGCTCTGAGCACTCATCTTACTGTATAAAAGATTAAATTTTCGTTCATGCGTGTTACGTTTCATTCTTTATCTGTTTACATTGTATTTCGATCGTCGGTCGCCGGCTTTCACGTTCATCCTTCTAGTCCGGGAGCCAGTAAACTTTCATCTCACGTCATTTGATTACAGCTGAAAATTTGTGAGGCTTTACTTAACTTACAAAAATCGTAGTCTGGCGGCTTGGACACGCTACGTTTGGCGACATTATAGTGTCAAAGTTGTAAAAAAATGACAATACCCTTTCGTCATTTGATTACGGCTGAAACTTATTTTGGTAATAGTTTAAGTACTAAAAAATCATAAAACATTTGTCTGGCTGCCCACCCACGCTGCTAAAGTTACTACGTCTATGTTTAGCCAGTCAAAAATTTCTTGCAATCTGCTTATTCGAGCTGCCGAATGCTGAGCGTCAACGACCCAAGGTCGACACTGGGCATTTAAAATGAAACAGAGTATCTGTCAAAGGATCCGATAGCTAAATTGGAATCGAACCGAGTCGATACCCCAAACATCCCAAGACGGTTTCAACGAATCTCTCTTCGTCGAATCCGCCTTACTAAATTATGATTTTTTACATTACGAATTTGTTGTTTACCTACAGATCTTACGTCTGAACCGCAAAATACTGCGCTTTTCTCGGACGGACCAGTGTTAGGCCCGTGTCGCACATACACGGCGCGTTGTCGAAAGTTACTTAATGGTTTATAACGACCAATGTCAACAAAAATTCAGAACATATGGATGATTTCAATCTTTTTGGAAATTATTTATTAATTGTATTTTCATTCTTCCTGCATTATTTGAGTAACCAACCCTAAATTAATATAAATGCTGACTTGTAATTTCGAAAATTAAAAAATGTAATTGTTAATTTAATGAACTAATAAAATATTAAGTAAGGACATTGTTCCTGGAGGATCTGGCTGGCACTCTCGTTGGTAAATTTATGGGATTTCAAGGGTGGTTTCGAGAAAAGCAATTATTGTGCATTAGTCTTTTGCCCGCTCGCACCTTGTGAGTTGCGTGACGTAGGCGGTCCGCAATCGGACACCGTCCTAAATTGTCGTTGGTCCTAACAAATTCCCACTTGAAGTTTTACTACGGACTTTTGGGAGTAGAAGAAGCTCCTTAGGAAAAATCTCAGACATTATCTCGTGACATTCAGTGACGTTGAAACATGTATTCGTCGCACGAATATTTTGGTATTTTTGTTAACGTAGGAACAACACATTTCTCTATAACAATAAATTAATGTAGGAGCAACACGCAAAATAACAAATCCATTTAAAGTAAATAATATGATTCTGACAAGTGGACAGTGTTAGTGACCGTACAGTAAAATAAACACCGCCACTGCGTTGACCCGATCGCACTTGTCACTACGTCTTTCGGTGGTGCCGTATACTGTCGGTGAAAGAGCTTTCGTGGAGCGGGACATCCAACTGATTTTACAACTAGGCACTTTGTGGGTGACCGGAAGGCCCATTGATGAAACTGCAGCCAGGGCCGTGCGTATCTTACAGAAGTATATTTACTTTACATCTCAGGCCCCTGTCATCTCTTGCTCAGTAATATGTGTAGGGTGTGAGATGCGTGTGTTTAGTTTTAGATCGAGCGAGTGCGGTGCGAATGAAGAGTGTTTATACCGTGTGACAGTTTCTTCGAATGAGAGTGCGTGCTAGATAAGATGGAATGAAAGGAACTGCGTCGAACCTCGTGATCGAAAATCGACACGAGGCGAGAATGTGTGAATGCGTGTGTGAACCTATGACCGAGTGTGACCATGTATGAAAGGGGATATAAGAGGGAAGTCAGTCAGAGCGAGTGTGTCTTAAGAGCTAGACTGTTGCAAGCGTGTCCTAACGAATTCTTTATACACATTTTAGAATAAACCTTTTATTTCTACCAAATACAACCACCACTTACTATTATTCCTACATATGTAATTTACGTATTAATAAAGGGTAACATATCGTTGTCAAAGATTAGGAAATATATAAACTTCTACCGTGAATGTTGCAAGTTAAACATTCGTTTACGACGAATATGTATTTGCACGAATATAATAGCAACTCTAGAATGGCAAATTAGTTTCTTTCAATTTTGAAAGGTAGATGACGTGTAATAAAACCGGAATTTGGGAAAGGAAAGTTCAAAATTAATTGTAACGGGTTGGAGACCGACTAGTCAGGACCTAGAGGAAATTCCGGGTTTTTATTCGACCACCATGCACCTTGAATAGTCCAGGGATCGCCATTCTTTACCTCCCTTCCTCCATCTCTCTCTCTCTCGCTCTCTCGCTCTCGTTAATTGGTTACTTTGAATTTTTTGTAACAGTCACTCATTTGTATAACTTATTTTCAAAATTGTATGCAGTACCAAAATTTTTTTAAATATACCAGAGAGAAAGAAACAGTTCCGTGTTGACATCCCACGGCCCTGAACGAAGTTCGAATACCATAAGTCTCACAGTACGGGGTTTATGGCCAAACCTACTGCCTAGTTGTAAAATCAGTCTGAGGTCCCGCTCCACGAAAGCTGTTTCACCGACAGTACCTGCGATCAGCTGTGGAGTAGCTGTCACCCACCATAAACCATTTCGTCCGTCGATGACCAGGATCGGTACAGTGACCTACTGACACAGGTCTACAAGCTGCAGGTGAATTTCCGAAAGGGTGAGTTGTATTCAATTTATTGTGGATTATTTTTTTTTTAATTTAACGCAACCTATGACTTTTTCACGGCAATAATTCTGCAAGTTTATGTACGTATATTTTTCTTCCGGTTTCTTAAAGACAATTATTTGTAATCAGTATCATTGTAGCCTGTTACTGAACTACGGATTCTTATGTCAATAACGAATTACGATCACTATTACATTACATGTTCCTTAATACGTTATTTGAAAAAGAAATTTACAAATTCCTTAACCTCTATCTTCAAATAATTATTATTTTCGATTCTGTTAAAAAAAATAATTGTGTATTCGTCTTTTTACGTTACACATGATTTTCTTACATTTACGTTTCATTCATTCATCA